AAGGCTTGAGTAATGTTAGTCTCACCTCTCTATTGGGCCTACAAGTAAAGGCTTGAGTAATGTTGCTCTCACCTCTCTATTATGCCTACAAGTAAAGGCTTGAGTAATGTTGCTCTCACCTCTCTATTGGGACAAGTAAAGGCTTGAGTAATGTTGCTCTCACCTCTCTATTGGGCCTACAAGTAAAGGCTTGAGTAATGTTGCTCTCACCTCTCTATTGGGACAAGTAAAGGATTGAGTAATGTTGCTCTCACCTCTCTATTGGGACAAGTAAAGGCTTGAGTAATGTTGCTCTCATCTCTCTATTGGGACAAGTAAAGGCTTGAGTAATGTTGCTCTCATCTCTCTATTGGGACAAGTAAAGGCTTGAGTAATGTTGCTCTCATCTCTCTATTGGGACAAGTAAAGGCTTGAGTAATGTTGCTCTCATCTCTCTATTGGGACAAGTAAAGGCTTGAGTAATGTTGCTCTCATCTCTCTATTGGGCCTACATGTTAAGGCTTGAGTAATGTTAGTCTCACCTCTCTATTGGGCCTACAAGTAAAGGCTTGAGTAATGTTGCTCTCATCTCTCTATTGGGCCTACAAGTAAAGGCTTGAGTAATGTTGCTCTCATCTCTCTATTGGGACAAGTAAAGGCTTGAGTAATGTTGCTCTCATCTCTCTATTGGGCCTACATGTTAAGGCTTGAGTAATGTTAGTCTCACCTCTTTATTGGGACAAGTAAAGGCTTGAGTAATGTTGCTCTCACCTCTATTGGGCCTACAAGTAAAGGCTTGAGTAATGTTGCTCTCACCTCTCTATTGGGACAAGTAAAGGATTGAGTAATGTTGCTCTCACCTCTCTATTGGGACAAGTAAAGGCTTGAGTAATGTTGCTCTCATCTCTCTATTGGGCCTACAAGTAAAGGCTTGAGTAATGTTGCTCTCACCTCTCTATTGGGACAAGTAAAGGCTTGAGTAATGTTGCTCTCACCTCTCTATTGGGCCTACAAGTAAAGGCTTGAGTAATGTTGCTCTCACCTCTCTATTACGCCTACAAGTAAAGGCTTGAGTAATGTTGCTCTCACCTCTCTATTGGGCCTACAAGTAAAGGCTTGAGTAATGTTGCTCTCACCTCTCTATTGGGCCTACAAAACTTCATAGTAACCATACATCAGTGATCAGTTCCCGTAATCAGACTGCGAATGAGTCTTACAAATCTTACTTTTAAATCTGGATAACCTCAGAGGTGTAATATTTTCATTCGTCATCATCGAATTATTATTTATTTGAGCTAAGCTCAAATTGAAATTGTGTGATGTTACAAGTTTATTACTAGTTCATGTTAAAGTGAGCCATGTGATTCGCCCTCGTACCGTGTCCACTCCTTTAGGAGAGTACCGCCCTTGTGTCCTCCGCCCTCGTGTCCGGTTGACGTGTCAGGTGACTGAGTTAACACTAGACTAGATCCGCACTTTGGGAATCGTGCAGGAAGCCAAATTAGGGTGTCGTAACAAACTATCATATGATTATCCAATCAATTTTGCTTACGCGATTTTAAATTAGTCATTTTAAATCTGCTTTACATATTTTTTCAGATCACACTTATGGGCCACTTTCTACCAAAACACATACACTGAACCAGTCTAAAACGGCCACATATAGATGGGGGCAAGCTTACCACAATTGGTGGCAAGCTCGGCCGTAATTTATTAAATAACTGATTAATTGAATAATTAATAACGAGCCACGAGGCTTATTACATGCTCAATTCTCGATAATAGAGATCAATAATTTGTTAATAGCTGAAGTCGTTGTTAATACCTGAAGTCAGAATGAAGTGGGATGATACTGTTAATAGTTCGATAGTAAATAATAGGCTAATTACAAAAGGGGGGGGGGGGGGGGGTGGGGGGCACAAAAACCGAGAAAACCTCCTCAAACATCCTCTGCGAAAAGGTCTTCTTAATATTTGTTTGGAAGGCGCGGCATCTTTTTAGTAAATGCATGTGCGCCATAGCTAGGCAATTTAATTTAATTAAATTATATATATATAATATATATATATATATATATATATATATATATATATATATATATATATATATATATAGCTAGCGCGCTAGTATAGCTAAATTAAATTGCCTAGAGCTAGCTAGCTAGCTAGCTAATATAATCTATATTTTCGAAATATCGGGAGCGATAATATTGGACGCATAATAACATGCATGGTTTTGAGCATGTTAAGGTGTCACAAACCCACCCCTACTATACCAGAGTACACACATACACATCCGAGGAGTTGAAAATAGGGCCAACCAAAGAGTTTTTTAAAGTGCGAAGAAATAACTAACGTTTTTCACTGAAATTAAAAAAAGTTGCGGCAGAGCTACGTATGAGACAAATTCAAAATACTTTTTATTATATCGTAGATACTTGTATTACTGTGTTCATTTCTCCGGACCAGCCACCTGTCCCTGAGGACCCAGGCTATTATGTTCATTAACCGAATAAAGATTTGGCGGAATGACAGGCTGAGCGCGGCCCAGTAAGCCACCTGAAGAGCAAGACAGACACCATATGCTCGTTTTGGAGATGAAACAGAAGGCAAAGGAAGATTTGAATAGATGCTATTATATTAGAAGTGGTATTATTTGTTGTGAGGACAATTTCTTAGTAATTTAGTGATTTAAATTATTTTCATATTCATTTTCATGCTAGCCTTTTTCATTCACCCTTTAGAGTCGTTCTGATATGGTTAATAGCACTTGTGCCTGGCGCCTGCTACTATCCATATGGGCGGGATATAAGCACATTATTTCATTTCATAATTTCATTTCATATATCACTCATTTTTGTATGGAATTAGGCTACACCAATGTTTTCCCGATCCATGACTCAAAGTGCCGAAGGCACAAAAGAGTCAAGGACAAGGGTTAGCGAACGAGGTTTTTTTTGTATATGGTAGCTTTTGTCCGTACTATACCTGCGTGCCTGCGAGCGTACGTGTCGCCCACGTGTCTGCCTGCGCAAAGTTATTTCGCGCGATCATCTGAATTAAACAATTGTTGGCGCGTGGTGCTGAAATGTTCAAGTACATTGTTAATTTCACCTTCACCTAGCTAACCATGTGCTTTCGCGCCACTGCGGGCGCGCTTGTTTCACAAGTCAAGAAAACTTTTACCGCCGTGAGGCGGGCGCGCGCTACTGCAAGCGCAAGGGCTCTGGATAGAGCAAAATTTCACCATGTACGCATCCCGCTAGGGATTAATTGATAGCATAGTATTATTATTTTGAGTTAGTATTACTATTTTGCACAGATCCGTGTCAGGTTGCATAAACAATAAACATACGGTATATGGTTACATAGAAATATACACGATTTTCAAATTCAATTATTATTATCTAACTTTTAAAACAATCTCGAAATAGTAAAGAAACATCTTAAGAGACTGATAAGTGCCCAAAAAAACATAACAGTTCTCTGAAAAATAAAGGTTAATTATGAGGTAAATAATTTTCTCCACAAAACTCTGTTAGAGGCAGTAACCCTAAGATCATAAAAATCATTAACATCACGTAATGGTAGGTTTCTTTTATTCAAATCATTTATAATAAACTTTAAAAGATTACTTTGGTGTCGACCAACACGTCCTTTCATGGTAAATAACGCATTAACAGCAAATTGAAGAGCTCTCTGAGCTGGTGATAAGCAGTCACTGCGAAGGACATGTCCAAGCATTTTCCAGCGAGCATATGTCACTCGCTCTGACAACGATGTTACACCACAGCGTTCATAGAGTGCTTTATTACTGATAATAATGGGATAAGTCATCTTCAATATTTGACGCAGGTGTCTTCTATGACATGCATCAAGTTTGTCAAATAGGTTCTGAGGGGTAGCCCAGCTATTGCAGTTATAGAGCATAACAGATGTAACGTATGCTTCGTATATCTTAATCTTGGTCTTCAGATGAATCTTAGATCCTTGCATCCAAACTTTCTTGTATTTCTCGAATGCGACATTTCCAAGGATTATACGATGCTGTATGTCTTCTTTACTACATAGCTTAGAGCCTAGGGACACACACTTCCTCCAAGGTTCTATATTTCTTAGAGGTTCTCCTTTTTCGTCCTTCTCACTACTTCCAGCCAGATAACACTTTACAAACTCGGTTTTAGATTCATTCACAAACAAATTCCATTCTGAGAGAATTTCCTTGCAAATTGGAAGGAGCTGGTGTAACGAATCCTCATCTTCATCAGCAAAGTCCACATCATCAGCATATTCCCATTCTAAAGGAAGGGAGCTTTCAGATATGGGGGATTTGGGCGTAGATGTATAACAACAACTCTAAGGTGGTAGAGTGCTCCAGCTAGGTACATGGTAAACAGCGAGCCAGACAAACAGTCACCTTGAAAGGCTCCTATTGTGACTTCGAACTCTCCCGATGTCGTCTTTTTTATCTTAATTCTGAGCTTGGTGTTAGCGAGCAGATATCTAACTAGTCTTATGTCATCTTCTGAGCATCCTGCATCTTCGAGTAGCCTGAGGAGAGTTGACCGACATATCGTGTCGAAGGCTGATGACATGTCTATCCCCATTTTACTAAACTCCCAATGTTTCTCCTTGACAACAGAAATAAGAACCCTTTGTGTCCAGACAATATTAGAGCAGCTGTGTCCTGATTTATAGGCATTCTGCCATGGCCCAGTGTAGTCTGCTATCTGTTGTTGAATACGCTGGAGTGTTATCATGGAAAGGATTTTCCTAGTTCCATTGAGAAGGCACAAGGGACGCAGACTCTTAACTGGTCCTTTTGGTTTTCCAGGCTTCTGTAGGGGGGTAAGATATCCCTCAGTGAACGATTGAACGTGCTCTTGTTTTTCAAAGGACTCATTGATAAGTGATGCAAACTTCATGTAGAAAGAAGGAGGTGCATACTTAAGGAATTCGTTAGGGAGGTTGTCAGGACCAACGGCTTTACCGTTCTTTAGTTTCTTGGCTGCTGTCTCAACTTCAAGTGCAGTTATAGGCGTATCTAATGTTCTTGACTATGTCTGCCTTATCTTCGTCATTGAGAGCAAGTTCTTCTGTTTCTGGTAGGAATACTGAAATAGGAGGAGTGTCCTTTGTGCTTGAAATTGCTCTGGTTGCTTCGAACATTCTTCTGGTATCATCAGTGGAGTTGATCGTCTCAGCTAGAAGGTCGGCATGAGCGGTTTCAAGTGTAATAAGGCGCTTTGCAATGTCATTCTTGAGTCTGTTGATTTCCTTACGCAGGATAGTTCTGTCACGCATTTTGTTGTCGTTTAAATGTTGTAGTAATTGGTGTCTCTTTTCTGACATAGAGACGACTTGTGGGTCTGATGTTCTGTGACGTTTGGCTGTGTTTCCTTTCATACCCACTGTTTCAGATGCAGCAATTTTAACCGCCTCGAAAAGGTTGTTAAAACTTTCAGTGACTGACTGGGCAGATGTATCAGTTTCAATCTTCTGAGCAGCATTTTGTTGAAAAGAACTTTGAACATCTTTGCTACAAACCAATGAGTTGGTGTTATACTGCTTGACTTTGTGTTTGGCAGTACTGTAAAGTTTGTAACGTTTACTGAGGTCAAAAGTTGCTTTTACAATTTTGTGATCAGATTGAAGTTTTGCACCAGCGTAAGACCTAGCGTCAACAAGCAGAGGGGTACTTCTAGATCTACATAAAACATAATCAATTTGAGAAAACCAGGGTACAGACTTTTTGGATCTACGGTCTTTAATCCATCCTGTAAAAGTGTTGGTGTGTCTGCTCGCATGTGAAAATGCAGTGTTGGCTGCATAGAGTCCATTAGTGATCATGAAAGCTAGCAACCTTTCGCCATTTTCGTTACGCCGACCAATACCATGTCTTCCCATGTTAGTTTGAAGACCACTTTCAAAATCTGATTTAGTCCGTTTCCCTAGCCTAGCATTAAAATCACCCATGATGAAAAGTTCATGTCTGGCAGGAATTCTGATAGCTTCCTGGAGCCCACAGTAAAACTCATCAGCAATGCGTGGGTTCTGTATAGATTTGACATTAGTTGGACTGTAGCAGTTTATAATACGGGCTTTCAGTGATGGTTTCCCATGACACTTTGATGGTAGAGAAAGGTCCATGTATGCTACTCTGTCACTGATTTGATGGTACGAGACAACATTTGATACAAATTTACTGTTGATAATAAAACCGAGTCCGCCATGCCAAGACAACTTCTGGTTAAACAAAAGAAGCCTGTGGTTGCCGGGAATAACAGTGTCTGAGTGTTTAGACACCTTAGTTTCTTGGAGGGCTATAACATCCAAGTTGTATCTGTCGCAATCATTTGCAGCTAGATGCTGCGAGTGTTCCTGACTAATGCCTCTAACATTCCATGTGGCGAAGTGGAGAGATGCCACCGTGAAAAAAACCGAACAAAACAAAGCTGAAGAGAAAAACTGTAGGCTTCTTGGAAGCGTCAGACGTTCTGGTCGTAGTAGTTACTCCCATGCGTGCCCGTCACAGCAACACACCATTCAAATTCAATATGGAATTTTATCAACTGGGCGGCGCTCGGCCTGTCACTCCGCCATATCTGCATGCTTATAAACAGCAAAGACTGGGGTCCCCAGGTGGTATGGAATATGATAAAATACTCCATCACGGATCGGGAAATTGAACGGCCATCCACAAAACTAAAAGAAAAGCGGTCGCATTTTTTGTTAGTTTTAGCTAATAGTAATATAATACCGTTAAATCGGTATTTTCTTGATTTATTCAATCAAAGCAAATTATAGACGAATATCTTTGATGCAAGAGGTACGCTGACATTCCAAGTTTCAAATAATTAAGATTATAACTTCATTAAATACAAAACTAACAGAAAACAAAAAAGTATAGTCGAATTGAAACATATAATAGTAAAATGATTATTTTTCTATTTTAGGTACCGTATTTAGATTCTGCCGGAGTTCGTAAAGTTTTTCCACAACTACGTACTCTAACTGAAGCTATATCAATATATCATTATGAGATCTTGCCCGAATCAGCAACGATAGACTTTTTCCCCGGGCTTTGGTTGACGATGTCAACCCATCGAGATCGTTGCTCTGCGAAGCAAGAATGCTAGTTCGCGCGGCGCGTCGAAGCGGCGAAGTCCTCCAACCCGGGCTTATCAATGTAATTAACCCGAATAACCTTTTGCGTGACTCCGAACTTCCGCGTTCTATTCTTTCAGTTTCTCATTCTCCTACTATCTCCGTAAACTTGTTCTACAGGGTTGTTTCCTGGTAGTTCCTCGTTATCTTTGTTGTTCTACTTTCTCCGGATGCTGCAACTCGACCTCCTGAGTAACCTGAAGATAACTTAACTTAATATTGAACGATTTGTTTTAATAATTCATCGTCAACTGAGTCGAATTATACAAAAATAATTCATTTTTATCATTTGACCTTCCTAGCCCACATTCTGAAAAAAGTAAAATACAAACAGGAAAATGAGCGGTAATCCATCACGCAAAACTAGTATAGCTCGCCGAATTGTAACAACCAATCTACCTATATCAACGATAATTTGTTGCAATGTTCGAATGAAGAGTTTGTATGAAAATCATAATTTTAAATGGTTGACTAAAATCATAACCACATAATAACATGTGACATACCCGAGCAGCTAGCAAGTTTCCGAATACACTCCTTGAGGAAGGTGTTGAAGCTGGTTACAGTAAAACTGTATATAAAGAAGTTAGCGACAGTGTTGAAGTACCCACAAGTCGCTGCAAATCTGTAGAAATAAGTTCCCTTCACGTGGGCCCCAACCGCAAAGTAGATAGCGTAAGGTAGATAAGAGACACTGTAGACAGACGCAGTAACAATGACTGTGAGGAGACCCTGCCACCTGAGGTTACCCCCACTTCTAGTTGTCACCTTCCTTGCTTTCAGCAGGTGTTGCACAAGCAGCAGGGTGATGGAGAATATCACCAAGTTTGGAAGGTAGGTGGTGAGAGCGAAGTAGGTGAGGAAGAGCCAGGATTTCCAGACTGGTGCTGAGTAGGCGTAGTTGTATCTGTAAATCCCGTAGTCAAATATGATGTCATCCGCTCCCCCTATGAAGAACCGACCCTGGCAGAGTAAGCTGACAACCCAAATGAAAGCACACAGTTTGTGAGCTCGTGTTTCAGACCAGTTTCTAGATCGCAGAGGGTGCTTTATCAGCAGCCACTTCATGATTATCAGTGCGAGAATGAGGAGTTTGCTGGAGAGGAAGCCGTAGTAAGGACCGTATGCCAGGATGTAACTCAAAAAGTTTCTACCAAACACGTTCCGATCTGCTGCTCTGGACACTGCTTGAGGGAGGATACACGTTCCAGAGACCACTATATCACTCACTGCGATGTGCTGGACGAAGACCACTATAACCTTGTGGAGTTTAAACGCTTTGTATTTTATAGAGGCTAGGAGAATGATAATGTCTCCCATTAAAGAGGCAAGGAGGATAATCATTAGCCAACCAGTCCAAATTATTAGGAACACTTCTTCTTTAGTGGAAACTCCGCGTTCAGTTAAATTGGAGCTGTTGTGGGACATCTCGAGGCTTTCCTGTCAAACCAAACCACTGCAATAAGGGGAATGAGCAATAAGGGAAATGAGCATTTTGCTTATCTCGTCATGCGTTTATTAATTTGAAAAACGAATTTGAGATGAAAGTAAAACGCTGGAAGTTTAACCTGCAAATATGCTTGGGCCGCGCGGTACTATAGCAACATCATATTAGTGGCGATTCGCTATACTGGTGAAAGTGCTTTCTTTCTCTTTTTGGGTTCGGATACAAGAACAAAATGACTTGATCAGATTCAGTGAAGATAAATAAGAATATGGAACACTGCAATACTATTATATGCACATAATATATCGAAACCTGAGAGTGGTTCGTATCTCATGGCAGCCAGACAGAATGTAATTAATCAAAATATTACGTTAACTAATTCATACTGCATGGCATACTGTGTTACATTTCACTGACAGTGACACTGACACTCTAACGCATCACGCATGTGTTCTATTTTGGGTCGATGACCACATTTGTATTCTGTTGTAAAATACAAAAGGAAATGAATGAAGCAGAATATAAATTGTGGAGTAGAAATGAGAAGATCGAAAAAATAATGCAGCTCGAGCAATATCCTGTATCCGCAAACAATAATTTTGATCTGCTAGTACGCGCGTCGCAATCAAAATTAACAATTATATTAAACTGCACGCGGGGTCGTTACGTTGCCAAGGCAACAATCCCCGTTTCTGTCAATGAATCTCTGCGCGCTTCATTTCTTGCACGTTTAACTGTTGAAACAAACGATTGTAAAATGCACAGAGGTTATCAAAATATCACTCCCGCCAACAACAAAGTTCTAAAGAAACTTTGGGATGACACACGTTACAATCAGGTATATTGTAATTTACTTTGAGTCTTACTATGCTTAAAATTTTACATCCACCTTTTTTCACTGAAGTTTTAGCTCATGAGCATGGAAACATATTTTTCTTCGATACTTTAATTAGTTAATTGAAGTATAAGATTTGCACAAAAACAAAAATTCATCTTCTTTAATTATCTACTCCAATTCGAACCTATTAGTACTTGGTCATGGTGAACTGTGTGACAGTGACACTTGCACTGACATAATTAAGATTTAAGAATGATCATGAAATTGAGAATAAAATAAATTTGCGCACTTTACCGATACTCCATTATCAATTTTAAGGTTCCTACAACGTAATGAACTATTTTAGCACCGAACGAACATCCTGTTCGCTGAAGGGCGTATCGACAATGCTGCCCCGAAGACTTACATGCACCTCCACTTGAAACTGAAGAAGCTTCAAATGGAAGAGGAGCGGCTGGCTACTGTAGAGCGAGACAACAGAATACTCCTCCACAAAATGAGCAACGTGATGAGAACAAAAGGAACTGTGGACAACCACATAGACAACAAGTACATCCACAAGAGTCTGAACAAGGTAAAACGTCAGCGGGAACTAGAGAAGATAGCGTTTGAGAACAAGGCTATTCACAAGAGGATTAACTCGCAAGGGACACGGTACTGCAAAGAAGTGTGGTTGGATGAATGGCAGGTTAACGAGCGGTATATGGCGAACATCTGTACCTTCCCCCAGTTCTGGTACGATCGACAAGCTGAACAGGACAAGCCTTTCTTCAAGGTTTGTTTCGCGATTGAGGTGTAAGAGGTAAATTGTATCAATGTTATGTGTCGGTGATCAAACCCTGATGATTGATAAACAAATTATATTTACCAAGTTCTGACTATAAACCTAATACAGGAGCTGAAGCAGGAGGCGTGTCTGAGACTTGGACAGGCTAATAGGCAGTTTCAAAAGGATGTGACGTTCCACAAGAAGCAGCAATACAAACACAACCAACAAAGGAGTCGGGAGAAGAAAATACGAAAAGAGAAGGCGGCTAGAGAAAAGAGGGTCGCTCTAGAGCTAGACTTCATCAAGAAACTCAAGGGGTAAGAAAGGGATTCCTTAACTCAGTCATTGCTAATGAGCGACAAAATAGATTTAAAGTGCTTGTAGCGAGGAAAAAAATTATTTAATGCAAACGTAAGATTTGATATTTCCGTTGCCAATTTTCCAAATACTAACTTGACTCCACATAGGTTGTCGATAAAAAAGTTCAACAACCTTTACGGATCCCAAAAGCCCGGCAAGAACTTCTCTCAGCCCACTGCAGCACTGCTCCCACCCATCGAGAATGAATCGTCGTAAAATCTTACCGGACGATTTGATCAGCTTACTTGTTTTATGATTCAATAGAATTTCACGACGCTGGCCGCTTTCAAAATAACGATATTGAATTCCTACTATTTATTTGATGAAATTATATATCGTGGTATCTCGTTCTCAATTATTGTTTAAGTTAGAACTTAAGAAGGAAGTCGAGCGTCAAATTTCGTATTTTACAAATTTTCTGATTAAAATGTATGTACAAATCACAATATATATAATAGCATAATAATCATATCTGATATTCATAAATCACAAATTACTTAATTTGAGTTTGTTTGCCATGCTTCAAGAAAATGTATTTTTCTTCCGTTTATTAAAAATAGGTATCGTGATGTTCTATATACACTTGTTTTCGACATAATCGTATAAATAATATTCTACCAATACAGCTGGCTAAACTTTATTCGCTGAAATCATTGCATAACTATCAAAAATCTGTCAAACACAAGCCAGCTCTCAGATCAGAATATCGTACACAAGAGCATCCGAATTGTCCTTAACTATCAGCAAAACTGATTGAGATACTTTTTTGTTTCAATAGTGTTATGGTATTATACCACATAAAATTAGTGACGATCGAAGTCAGAGGTAAACATGATTGTTTCTTGCGCGATCAGGTCATTTTCCAGTGGTCATTACAATAAGCCCCGATGGACACATCATCATCTGAAGAAGTTTCAGAGCCGTCCTGACTAGACTTATTGGATCGTCTGATAATGATATTAGAGGGAACAGAGTACAACTTCCCCATGTCCTTCCTCAGAGACTGAACAAGGAAAGCGTTATAGTTGAGAGGGTAAGGCTGGAGAACGCTAACCTCGGTTTTCTCATTAACCTCCTTGTTACAGGAATTGGAACTCTTAGCTCTCCTTCTGATAATGGGGGCTTTTATCAGCCTGGCTTTGTTCCAGTCTATGACAGCTGCGTGAGCCTCTTTAGGAGGGGGTCTCCCGTAGTACCAGGTCCTGGTGGTGGAGATACTGCGAGGCCGGGTAGCGGCTACCGTGTGGGGTCGTGCTACCGTGCTGGGTCGGGACACTGTGCGGGACCCAGCTTGTGTGGACTTAGCCCGGGTCGAGGGACGTCTCTCGTGGTACTCCGGGTCACAGACTTGGGGGACGTCAGAGATAGAGAGAGCTGAGGAAGAGGTTGGTTAGTTTAACAGTCATTTAGAGACAAAGATAGTATTAACTTAAACCATTCACCAGTTTAGTAGTTCATTAACAGTCACTTAGAGAACATCACAGCCTTAACTTAAACCATTTAGTTAGACATACTAGTCAACTTGCAATTATAAATTAATTGTGACAGTGGAACGTCCTGTCTTGGTAGGATAATAATCAGTACAGATATTAGAGTTTTAGAGTTCAGACCCCATAGCTAAATTGAATGCAATCTGACTGCTCCTAGCTGTGTGACAAAGTTCCTTTAAATCTACAGGACACTTTAGTATTGGAGCGGTATTGCTGACGGTATCTACTGACGTTTTTAACGACACCATTTGCAATATCGTCATTTTGAGCTTAATCCTACCACTACCACCTTCACTTTTAGACCTTTATGATGTTTAAAAGCCCGGTCGTTACTTCGACTTTTTACTCTTTGTGTATTTTTATTTTATGAGACCCGTGTAGTGTTTGTCTTAAGCTCTTTGCTCCGACGAGGAAAGAAAGTTTTTTAAGGAGAGCCGCGCAGACATGGGCACCGTATTATGTAGATTATTCAGTTACATCTTATACAATATCTTTGCCGCATATGAGCCTGGAGCGAGGTAGTAGTTACTGTGTTTCTTTGCCGCATATAAGCCTGGAGCGAGGTAATAAATACTGAGTTTCTTTGCCGCATATGAGACTGGAGCGAGGTAATAAATACTGAGTTTCTTTGCCGCATATGAGACTGGAGCGAGGTAGTAGATACTGTGTTTCTTTGCCGCATATAAGCCTGGAGCGAGGTAATAAATACTGAGTTTCTTTGCCGCATATGAGACTGGAGCGAGGTAGTAGTTACTGTGTTTCTTTGCCGCATATAAGCCTGGAGCGAGGTAGTAAATACTGTGTTTCATATGAGCCTGGAGCGAGGTATCTAGTAAATACTGTGTTTCTAATGGTTTACTAATGACGTCAACATAGAACAATTAATGAAAGTCAAGTTAGTGAGATCAGGTTAAATGAAGTGCAGTTAATTGCGGCTTGTAATTGTTTAATTTCTTATTAAGTTTCTAGTAATTAGTGCCAAGACAACTCTTAGATCAACTGCGGTTGTTATTGAGTAGATACTTGAAGTTGACTCGACAATTAATTGCAATTCTGGTTCTATGTGACGTTTAATGTGACGTGAGGATTTCTTATCAGAGATTTTGGTCATTTCGTCATTGTAATCTTAAGACACTCCACAGTTTCCTAGTTCTCCCTTGATTGTGATACTCCCTTAGGCTTAACAAGTTCATTCATTCTAGCATGTGCTGTGGTATCTTAGCACCGATCTTTGCCGCAGGTAAGGAAACGTGGATATTCATCCGTCTAAGCTTGAATATCTTTACTTATTGCATGATGATCAAATTTTAATATTTTGTGATTTAATTTTATAACCCAAGTGCTGCATAAGCCAGCATGCATGGAATTTTAAGAAATTTGTGGTGATTGTGATATGATGCAATGATATTGTAGTCCACCATTTGATGGAAGATTTGAGATCAACTACATTTAGCAATAGCGTCACTGTTTCTATGGGGGTAAACGCGCTGTAAGATAGAGAAGAATCCTAGCACACGCCACACAGGCCAGTTCTCGAGGGTTTAATAATATTAATGATCAAAACTAGTATAGTTAGTACTTTAACGAGGCTGAAAGCTCTAAACTTAATACGAAAGCGATGAAGTGTACTACATAGCAACTTGTCAACTTATTTTTGTTAATTCTACATATTGTAAAATTGTACTATGCTACGTTCGGTTCATTGATTGCAGAGTGCGACAACTAATAACTATTAAGATTTAACGACGCATATCAACTATATTACTAACTGTATTATACAATATATACATGATGTATTAATATTATATTAAGTTGTGACAAAAAAGTATTTAAGTACCTGGCATGTCAAATCGAGTTTATTTTAGTTCTACAAACAACCTTTTTTTTTCAAATTTCATCCAAACAACTTGACAAAACGTAACAGCAGTTCGATAAAAAGCATTTAATAAGGATCAAAGAGTCTCGAAGAGTCTCGAAAAGTAAGCGGATAAAACAAACACTGACCAAGTTAATGCGCTAGCTCCTAGTCTTAGTAAACAGTTCAGCGTGCACTCGAATTGCAAGCAAGTTCATAAACAATGAGAAATGTGAACGAGGGACATATGAAAAGAGCTGCATACTAAAGCAACTTTATGGCTATCTGTTTATAATGTGGTCCATGATAAGGTGGACACATTTAAGTATTATTCATAGCATTTTAGATTGCATTCAAATCATTGTCTTCTCTAATTTAAAAAATTGTTTTTTCAGTTCATCTTTATTTGATCTTATGATTGTTTTAGCTACCACTTTAAATCAAGTTGGTGATAACGGCTCGCTCTGCTCGTTATTTAAAGTCAAGTGTAATGGTAGCTGCGAATCAGCCCAAAGGTTATGACTACAAAGTTAAAAATTTACAGGTAGGTTTTACTCGCATGCAGAAACAGAATAACGTTAGTTATTAGCTTTGTTAAACTATATGGTATTCGAGGAGAACTTAAAGTGTGCCGTTTTCTTTCGCATCGAAAGTTCGTTCAATGATAGGCTCGAAACGGAGGATTTAATTGTCTATAAAGCAATGAAAGGCATTCATTATGCGAGCGCAAACCATTGCTGCTTGGTGAATTTCTGATGGTGTCTTTGTGTCGTGACTATTTGAAAAGAACACTGCATGACTGCAATTTTTACAATGAAATTATTAGATATGAATGAATCAATAATTGTACACTTGTTTTTAACCACAATCAGACAATATTTTTAAGTTAAAAACAGAGGGGGATCATCCCACGTTTTTTTCAAACTGTACACAAAGCACGATTCCACATTCTTCAAGTAAAATATGCAGACAAATCTCATCGAAACATTCATCACAAGAACATTTCACAACATCGTACACGGAATAACATCCAGTCTTTTTCATTTCACCGCTCATCAAGGAACCTCAGCAGAGGTTCCCAATCAGGAACAACAGGACTAGAGTCTCAGGAGGTCCTGAGCACATCATACCCCTGACCTCTGAACCTCATCTCAAGCTGATTTACTATGAAGTTGTTGTAACTGATGGGTAGCTGGTACTCTTGGAGTCTGTTCTTCAGTTCTGTGGAGGGTCTGTGTCTGATATCCTCCGGCTGGAACGGCTCCTCCACTTTGTCAGAAGGAGCTGATTTTATCCTTTTTCTTTCCACTATCTTGCAGGTGGTGCGCTTAACAGCGTTCTTATCCAGAGCAGGTAAGTGAGCTTCACTGAAATTAGCTATCTGATCATCCAACTCTCTTTGTCTCCTCTTCTCTATCCGACCACTTATCTTCTTCCAGCTCTTCACCTTCTTCTTCTTGTTCTCCAGACCACAGATAATCGCAGCACTGGCTCTTCTCCAGCCATAATTTGGACTCATCCCAAACAAATCCTCGTCTTCACTGCTGATGGGGCAGATAGCAGTGCTGGAGTAGGGCATGGAGGGGGTGGTGCTGGTGACACTGTTGGTGGTGCTGGCTCGGGGTGTCTTTGCGAACTGGACCCTCCTGCGTGTGGGGTTTATAGGAACACCGCTGGTCATTCTGTTTGTTGATCGAGCTGACATCACTGTGAAACTGGGACTGTTAGTGTGTTGTAAAGGTTACAACTTCAAACTGTATTCAAGGGGATTCGCAAAACCAAAAAGGTTACAACTTAAAAACTACACAACATTTTATTCGAAGACCATCATGATAATTTAACAATCTGAATTAAGTAAGACTGACTTATCTATTGTAAGATATCATAGGATGGCAAATATTAAAGGCTCGCATTTAGTTGATCTACTAAGCAGTCAATTACTTTAATTATGGACTGTTATAATACGTGTATAGTCAGTTAATAGACGCCGGCTGATTCATTCAAAGCTTACAGATAAATTCAACTAAAAATAGTGATTCCGTTCGCTTTTAGTTTAATATTGACAAACTCTTAACTTCAACTTTTACATAAGTTGTCGCTATATTTACTACCGTCCATACAGATTGGATTTAGTGATTACTGCAACATTCAATGAGCCAAACACATGGACCAAGTTTATCAAGCAAGATTTATCAAGTTTCTGCACAGCATTAATCAAACACGATTGATAGGTCACTAGCATGCTTGACTTAACACCGGATGCAGGAGCCCTTTTTTGTAAAAAATGTAAGATAAATAAAACTTCTTAAATGTGAGTAAAACAAAACGCTAGACGTTTTTTTCAAATTTCAGACCAGGAAAGCACGATTGATTACTCTAGGCTGGCGGCTTGTAACATATAATATCACTATAAATCGCTCAAGCAAATCATCTGCTCTAAATACTTAAAAATGCTCAAATGCTCAAAATATTTAAAGACACAGCGTCAACACAAAACTGGTCCATTAAGAAGCAGAGCAAGAATAAACACATCGTGACGGTGCCTCCCACAAATGACAAATGAAATAAAGTGCACATATCTCTTGACGTAGGTTGCTAAAAACAATTAATTAAAGGACAACAATATCGCAGCTGACTGAAGATACTGTTAGAGAAATAACTCTCAATCAGAGAGAGAGAGAGAGAGAGAGAGAGAGAGATAACGTGCTGTATAAGCACTCTATCAACTACTTTAATTTAAAAGTCATGAGTTGTGCATTTGTCGTGAGTTGTCCACGTACAACTGGTCAGTTACTGACGCAGGTTTGAAAAAGCTACGATCACAACTTATAGCGGGTCCTGCTTACCATGTTAAAAAGCTGAGCTGTTAATTTGAGCAGCACGGTTTATGATGCTCTGAAACGTTACGATACCACGAGCACTAGTAGCACTGTTTAAGATGAAACTTAGAGGTTGTTACTTAAAGTTATGACATACTCACATACCATGACATGTTTACTGTGATAGGCAGAAATAAGGGACTGAAAAGATAATGATATTGGTCTGTAGATACAGACCTTAACAGCATATACTACTATATTATATTCTTATAGGGTAGGTTCGAAAAATGGACAAAAGCCTGATCATAAACTGGATCTTTGTTGGAGAACAGGTACGTTTTTATAAAGGTTATACAATTATAACAAGGGTGACGTTATGTCGTAGGTTGCCGTGGTTACACCCATCATTTCCTCTATTGCCAGAGCTATTAGCGAGACGTAAAACCCGATGTCTTAACAGATAACCATTATGTAACAGCCCGTATAAATTATACTATTATAGTCAAAAGCAGAAAAAAAACCGCATATACGAAGCGATTATCTGATGCAAATTGTTGTTTTAACTTTTTAAGTATTAGTGTTTAGCAATTGTAGATACATTTTCATTTCTTTACTTGTCAACTAATGACACATCTCGGCCTTTTTGTACGTGCTACATAGCGTTCACATATACTCACAGGAAACATTTTATATGTAAAATTATGACTGGAATTTGAAAGGAGAATCTCAGCGAACGGAATAAAGTTGGAAAATGATATTTTCGTGCATTAATGCATCAACATTGCCAAAATGCATGAAGTTACAGTTTTATATGGGCTCTGACCATGGCAACACGGCATAAAACATTATTAGAATTGGTGCAATGAACGGTTAAATACTTAATGCTCTCCCCATTATGTGAATGATTAGTGAATTATCCCTGAATTACTGTATATATCCCTGCTGAAGAACTGCAGGGAGAGCTCATACCCCGATCAATAATTCGGGGCAACACGAAACCCAATCCCCCAACTTAACTCCTGATTGTCAGTGTAATCGGCTAATCACTTACCGTATCACCAACAAATAACTAACAATTACGTACAAACACTAACTACTTCTAACAAATACTCAAAATTGCTAACAAATAACTTATAATTACTAACAAATAACTTACAACTACTAACAAATAGCTAACAAATAGCTAACAAATAGCTAACAATAACTAACAAATAACTCTCAATTACTAACTAATACTAAAAGTTACTGACGATTACTAACCAGATTTTGGTCGCTGAGGTAGCTTCAGAGTCCTGCTCTGCGTCCAAGGTCTGCTGTTCTCTGTCCCAGGTCTGATGTTCTGCATCCCTGCTCTGCTCCCTTGTAGAGGAGATGTAGCAGGTCTACTAGCCGCCCTACTACGAGGAGCTGATCTAGCGCTCTGAGCCCTCTTAGTATCCCTCATCCTCGGGAACCTGTCCGACCCAACCAGAAACGTAGAGTGGAACATCACTGGAGCAAAGCTGATAAGCTGGAACAACACGGGAACAAAGCTGAAACTATCAAGCAAAGCTGTGTGTATATAACAAGGAAACAATAGCGACTACTGGTAATTTAAAAGTAGAGCTATCGGAGGCAGCAGCTAGTCTGCAATGTGATTATACGGCCACGGAGAGATAAATAGAGCACGGTATATAGAGAATATAGAGGTATATATACCTCCTATATCGGAGAGGAGAGGTAAATATACTTGAATACCAAAATATACTTAGTGATTGCAAGTTGCTATGACAAAGGGAGCTGGTAAATATGTTGCTACTCGATATGAAGGACAGGGGGGCACTTTGCTGGCGCATGACTCTGGAGAGAGAGAGAGAGGTGAGTTTGGGTGGTTTCAAATAACCTGAGAGAGCGTGCAGTGTTTGGGGAAGTGCTTAATTACAGAATTAGAACGGAGATATCAGGTTAGCTGCAGGAGATGGAAATATTAGAGCATCATCGTTTCGTGATTAGAGATCGTGTTTAGTCACATAATAAAGATAGTTATTGATCTGTAACTTTAAAATGTCTGATTACTGAACAACATTTTTGCTGAACTAAAACAAAATTGTGTTTACCTGAGTCTGGATTCTGTTGAGTGTTGAGTAATTTCTTAAGTCTGAACTCAAGTGTAATATTAATAACATCTTAACATACCTCAATAACAGTACACGGCTCTAGTGACCACTCAAGAGTAATGAAAAACGCCGAATAAAGCCCGTAAGGTGTAGGCCCTAAGAACTGTAATATTGTTATGTACCTTTCGGATAAAGTAGATGGTGGTAGAAAATATTATTGTAATGTATGATTAATGAAAATCGTTGAGAGATGTGTGAAGTTTAAAGGACATATTCGAAGTTGACGTTTGAGATTTACCTAACTTCCCAATTTGAATTTCAAAATAAGAATACCTATAAAGATTTGGACCTGGGGTCGTCGGACATAATGACATATTGTGCCTGCTCATTTTGGACGGTGAGAGTGACTAGAACTAACCTATTCAATTTGGTTTGGACACATAGTAAGACAGCACAAATATAGGTGAATTCTTCGTATATTTACATCACTAGCCTATAAAAATAAAATTAGGTTAGACTAATGAAAGCAATTTAAAAGTTAACAACTTGAAAATTTAAAACAGATTTTAATCTGAAACTTTACTAAAGAGCTCAATGTGCTAGGTAGAATGGACAACAGAGCATAACAGATTATTCAGCGAGTAACTACAATCCTATTTAACCCAAAAATATTAGTTCTAAATTTTGAAATAAGAATGCTCTCTTCTCTATCAAGTGCTGTTGGTCGGACTTTTCTTACTACACCTAATTTAAAAACTCCCATAGTGAAATCAGATTTATGCGCTAGAAAACAATGCATGGAAAGTGCCGACTTCTCAAATGACAATTCATTATCAATTTTAAACTTGTTTCTGTGTCCATTCATTCTGATATGAAATGGAGAAACCGTTTGGCCGAAATAGGTATCGTCTTTTAGGCTCTGGGGAAGTTTATTACAAATTTGGCATTGGGCGACATAAATTATATTGCTGTCCTTACATGTCAACCGGAAATCCAGAGTTAAATCCAAACCATTGACAGTGATAACTTCGTTGGAGTTGAACAGTTGGGGACAGGTTGCACAGCCTCTCCCGCCACAGTTTTGGCTGACGGTGAAAGAATCCGTTTCGGAGCACGAACTGAGTTTTCTATTGCGCACTACTGTGTTGCCTATAGATGGCTGTTTACGTAGTGCAAACAATATCTGTACGTCTCCGCATAATAGTTTGATGTCCTCACTAGTAGAGTGTACCAACTTCCTAAGTTCAGTGACCTCTTTGAAAAATTTCACTGAAAAGACAACTTTGTCAGTGATTGGCTTCTTATCTTCCCTCTCATACAAATCGTGTTCTATTGATCTCAAGACTGCTTCAGGCTCTGTTTCCGTTAAGGTCCCCTCCTTGTGTCCACTTTTCATTAGGTCTTCTTTAAGTTCCTCCAGGTCCTCCACACATGTGTGATCCTGCGAATTTCGCTTGATCACTCGGATCATCTGTGAGAATACTACTGATTTAAAGACGTGGTTTGGGTGGAAACTATCAGTATTAAGGTAAAGCCTGGCATCAGTCTCTTTCTTAAATAGTCTGTAGTCGATGTTGTTGTTCTCCCCCAGGGAGAGTTCTACATCCAAGTAGTTAACTGATTTGCCAAACTGACAATCACCGAACTGAATTCCAAATCGTTTTGCGGCTTCATTTAGTTTCGACACAAAAAGATCAAATTGCCTCCTGGAGCCCTTCCAAATTCCAAAGACATCGTCGATGAAGCGTCGCCAGAATAAAATAAGACTCCATAGCTGTATCATTTCAGGCCAGATGTTGATGAATAGCACCCAATGAAGCATGATATCAGCGACTTGACGCGAAATACAATTTCCAGTTGGGATACCCTTTTTGCCTGTGTACACATTTTCTTGAAAAGTGACAAAGGAGTTTGTGAAGATAATCTCCGTGAATGTTTTCAGAATAGCCTTTCGTTTATCAATCATAGTACTACCGTTCAGGGCATGTTCCAATGCAGACATAGCTATTTCAGGTTTTATGCTTGGATACAGACTGATCACGTCTAAAGTAAACAAGTTGATGGTGCTATATTTTGACATGTCTGCCGATTCATTAAGGTTTTTTATGTTACTGAGAAGGTCTGGTGTATCCAGGAGAAACTCCTGTTGGCAATAAATCCTACTTATATCTGTTAGGTATGGGCTAACCCACTTTTCTAGCCTGTAAAGAGGGCCCTCCTTAGTGGCATGGACAAGCCTGGTAGGGGGAACTATTTTCCCCTCAATCTGTTGTGGACTTAATTTATGCAGCTTAAATAGAGGGTACACATAAGGGACTACTGGTTTGAATACATGTGCATGCATTTGGTTATTATTTTCATTAAGTCCAGTAATGAGTTTCTTGTCTTTTTCTGTGATTTTCCCCTCTGATAAAGCCAGAAGAACTGCATCCTTAACATTATTCTTCACATCTGTCATTTTCTCTTGAACTAACCTAGTGTAAGTCTTACAGCGTGAAAGTGTAATGGTATAAATTATACCGTACAAACCTTTTTTGTAAGATCATTTTATTAGAATAGTAAAATCAGAGATTTCTAAAAACATGAATAAATCGATTAAGTTCTAAGTTCACGTTAATGTTGTATGTCACTCTTTCGCGCGCCAGTAGAGTAAAAGGTAACGTTGACGAATATTTGGACAGTACTGAGTTGACGGATAAGTGTAATATCACAGATTGTGCAACTTTATTTATTACTAAATAAAAATCATCCCAAAAACGAATTGGAGCCGGGAGCCTGAATATTAATCGATTTCCCTGGAGACCCTCACGAGCCCAGGGCTCTGATATTAAATATTGGCGAGTTAATTAACATACTAGAGCCAATATAAGCGCAATTTATTGCACCAGTCACAATTCTCTTTTCGAATAAATATATTAATGGATTTTATATTTCATGATCTTTCAAAGGGAGCAGTTTTTAATTTTGGTGCACTGGTTAATGCTACTTTTCTTGCCTGTCAGATATTCTTTTACCGAGGAAGATTCTTTTTACTTTTTTAATAGAGATGATTTCACCAACATATAAATTTATCATTTTATCAAATTCTGATTAAATAATTGTATTCCCATACATACAATTTTGAACCAGATAGTATTGCTAGTTCTAATGTTTAAATTTTCGGTTGCTACTCCCACATGTTTTTGAAGCCAAACAATATCAAAAATTGCAAACTATAACTTCATCATATCTTCAAGTCTAGCAAATCAGTAATTTTATCTGGTTTTCGTAACACGCATTACTTGTCTATAAATCTTACAAAACCAAATAAATTATATTGTGGTTTATTTGTTGCTTGACGAATTAGAACGGCTCCGTTTTTCGTGGGTCTTTGATTTAATAAGCACACTTTTACGGATCACAACTCAGAAGGTTAGCTGAAATTATTTTCGTACACAGTAAATTATAGTGGTATACGGTGTTATATCGGAAAACGGTAGAATAATAAAAATTCTGCCATGCGGTTAAACATAATGAATAGGTTAAAATTCTGTAGAAGCATGGAAACCATAGAACTATGTTAAATTACCGTCAGATAAGCGTTTATTTTCTCTCTTATACAATATATGCATGTTTCTTCGGACATTAATCAGCAGATTTGACACACTCTGGCATAAACTGGAACACCGTGAATGATACTGATACCTACATCAACTTGTTGGTTGATGGATCAGATAAGTATTTAAAACAGGCATTGAGTTTTATTTTCCAACAGCGTCCACAATCCATTTCAATATCAGATTGATTGGAACACCTACGCCCTACAGTTATCTAATTCATAATTCAAATTAGAAATGAAAGCAAGAATTTCACGCAATAATTACCACACTCTAGTTTACCTAACTCCAATACTGAGTCATATGGCCAAATAACACGATTTAAAAATGTATACAATTTACGTTAGCCATAGCCAAATTAGGTAAACTAGCAGGAACCCGTATAACCCTAAAATGGTGTCAAGACTCAAGAGACTAAAAGAATTATTACCTGTTTACTTCGCGTTTTTGACACCACTTGGGGGTTCAAATTTTGGGCTCTAAAACTCCTATTCCTTGGTAAATTTTTTATTATTCATGCTGATTTGCAGGCCATTAAAGCATTTGACCCAGTCAAAAAAAGTTTCAGTTGTATATCTTTTAGTTTTACGGTTTTTGCAGAAAGTCGCGTTAAAGTTGATGCCCTGGTGTCAGTAAAATGGTACGGATCCAAATATATCGTTTTGCTTTATATAGTAAGATATGTTGCAGTAAGATATATAATAAGATATGTTGCCTCGTTTTAACTGACCACTAAATACTAAGTACTTACGAGGGAAGGCATGTTGGTTAATGGATTAGGATATACCTTATCGGACCTTATTTGGACGGACATTACATGAACGGACACAATTATGAACGGACATTAATATGAACGCTCGAAGGCATTCAAAGCCATCAAAAATCCGAATTTTTTTCAATATTTTTTGACGTTTTTTAAATTTCAGCAAATGATTTTTAAATCCATTTTTTATACAGTAAGTAAGAAAAGCAGTCATTAAGCAGTAAAAATGTTAAAATATGTGTACATGATCAGTGTCTAATATATCACATATCATCTTCATCAAATGGGTTTTCGTGCATGAAATAGTCCATGCTTAAAAGCATCAGTGATTTCTAGCTTTAGGGAAACCTTTTTTTTTAATCAAACTACCCCGGTCCTGCATTTCAGTGTTAACTTTTACAAGCCATTCGGTGTGAAGTGGTTTTATCTTAGACAACTTAAGGTTAACCTTAACATCACGTGGAGCTTTCCCAGCACTTTGTTTCATATTACCTCCCCTGAGTAATATGAGCTATAACAACGTCGGACAATGTCCTTGGCAACACGATTTACCGTAATATCTAGAGGCTGGAACAAGTTTGTCATGTTGGCGGGGACTAGTTCATGAACTATGTTGTTGAGTGCCATAATTTCGTTGACTTTTTTCCGCCAAGTGACCCTTGAATTTGAAAACATTATATACTAGTAAAGTTTTCTGTGCCTCCGGCAGACCAAGGAGAACCTTTCCGTCGTTAACTTACGGCACAATAAAGTTCTCAAATTAGTTGTCATATTCTGGACAAAAAGTTCGAAATGGAAAAAGTTTTGAAAAAATTTCAACGGACTTTAACTTGGACGGACATTAATTGAACGGACTTTATTTGAACGGACATTAAGATGAACGCTAGGGCCTCCAGCGTTCAAGTAATTTCCGTCCAAATAAGGTCCGATAAGGTATACGTACAAATGACGCATGTCACTTTCTTTGTCAGAAAATATCCCCCATAAATCAAACTATACGGGATAGTTTGATTTATAGGGTCAACTTTCTGTATAATAATTAATATTTGTGGTATTAAACAGGAATTAAACAGGAATTAAACAGGAATTAAACGTGAAACAGGAATTAAACATGACATGACTAAGGAGAACACTAACGAACTCGTTTTGGTAATACAAGAATTCATAAAGACGATCAGAACTCTAAAAATCGAGAGAAAGCTATAAAAATAAAATCTTAAAAATTAACCGCGTTACAAATTCACGAAAGAGAAGACAAAAATCGAATATAATGATTTAAATACGATTAAAAAGAGTCATGGGGATTTGATAATGAAGATGAGTAGGAGACGGGAGGTGATGAATAGGACTTCTTTTCAGGAGGATTTCGAAGGTGAAAGGATTCTGTGAGGTACTTTCCAAATTCTGTTGCATGGAATGAGTTCATGATGGCCCCATATTCTTAGAGCATTATGAGGCTTTTAAGGTTGTCTGAGAGGTTGGACCAGAGGGAGTTGTAGCTGGGGCATTCATTTATGACGTGGTCCTCGGTTTAAAGGATTGGTGTTTCAAAGAATGGTATTTCTTCGAATAACCGCATGACGTCGGTGTCTGAGGAGCAGCAAAAGCGACATGTTTTCAGTGCAGTGTTGTAGCGATCTCCATTCTCCAGTGTGGCGATAATATACCACAGCCGTGAAAATCTGACCTCTAAATACAAAGCTCTTTATAATAATTTTACTTTTACATGTTTCAAGTTCTCGCTTTTAATGGTCAGCTATATATAAATATACCCAGCAGCACCTTGATTCTGATCTTTCAGAGATATATATATTAGAGTTGCATCAAAATGTGCTAAGTACATGGTATTTATTGAACAGCATGCGAGCCTTTGTTTTACCAGCGTAGCCTTTTAGCTTAGAAAATCTTATACATTGCTGCTCGAGCTTTCTGTTTTATCAGCGTTGCCTTTTAGCTTAGAAAATCTTTTACATTGCTGATCGCTTTCTTAAATATTTGGTTTGATCTTATCACTGACTTATTAATGCACTACTAAAACAGTAAACGTGATTTCGGGGGTAATCAATACCCACATCTAAATTTAAGTGATATAAATTGTCGTAGATTATCGATTTTGCAGAATATTGAACCTGGAAAACCGATCAGATTACGAAATCTTCTAAAAAGGGGATGAAAATATATTCGCAATGGCCAAAATTGTACAATGTACAAAACATATGCCACGCACTACGCAGCAAATGCATTCTATCGCTCTGAAATTCTATTTCAAGATTTATTGTAGTAAATCTCCATTTGTCAGACTATAATATCATTTCGGGACATAACTTAACACATTTTATAAATTTGTACTTCATCAGTCACGTTCAAATTTAGCTCACACAAGTGGTATAGTTACTTACAGGTAATTATTTTACTTTGGATTTGTTAGTTGTCCGCTGTCAGGCTAGGTCTACCAATTCAGACAACTGTGTCAACTTGGTTATGTAATACAAAAAGCAGACAGTCAGCAATAAACAATTATTGTGAGATTAAAATTGTTATCGAATATGACAGCTCCAACAAATGTCGTTAAATAAAATAGCTTTTATTTGTAATAGAAGTAAGCTGCATGTAGTAGAAACATAATTGGGAAATCAGGATCAAATATGATCACACGTAACGCGCGCAAATAACATGTGCTCTATCCAATGCGAAACTAAAAGTGATGAAAATAAGAGATTAATCGACTGTAGAGTGATTTAGCGCGACCGGAATCTTTATGAACATAATAACTTGGGGTCCCCAGGTTGCAGGTTATAGTAATACATGTAATTGTATTGCGCGAGCGATTTTCAATTTCGCGCGTCCTGAAAATCGAGTCTACAAATTTATCTCCTCCTACAATTTTAAAGCAATCACCCTGATCAAACTTTCGAAATATGTTCTACGGATCATTTAAAAGAGATGAGCCAGACAAAATTTTTTTGATAGGCCTTTAAACATTTTTATTTGATTTTTATCTTGGACTTTCAAAAAATCGTCAAAAACGGCCCCCTTAAGGCTTAATTAGCGTTCTGCATTTGAATTCAATTTGAATTCAAACAACTAGTGGACTAGAAGTAAAGATGTTTTATGAAAAAAGGAGAGTATGACTTTGCTTGTGCAATAATTAAGGGTTTGTTTTTATAATTAATAGTTAAAAATTTGTTCGACTACACCCCCAAACCATGTATTTAGGTACAATAACGACCGAAACCTGAAAATTGAGTAAGAGAGTCCTTTGAACTTTGAACTGTTTGGACTTTTGCATGGAGATGTGGGAAGGTTAAAAACCCCCATAAAGGGGAGACCCCGTAGTGGTAGCCCAACTACCGCTCTGTTATGCTTGCTTTACAAAAACAGTGGGTATCATCAAGGCTCAAGACAGGAGACTATGCCATCAGTTGGTTGATGTTCAACGGTTCGTTCGAAAAGTACATACCCAAAATCGAAAACAGGTTCAACAGACATCCAGCGTAGTATCCATTTCGGGAACGAAAACGTTAACAAAGGCCGGAAAAGAACAATCACCTCTGATAAAATTACGACTCTTCTTATAAGGTCAGGATGAAGAGTCTTGGAGTTGAGGAGAATACTCGTGAAGTCTTCTCCTATTTATCGGGGAGCCACTTGGTCACCTCTGACATCATGCTCGTAGGTGACCTAAAATGCTCGTACAGGTGGTGTCAACCTTAATCCCAGTGACAAAAGACTGGATGAAAAAGAAGAAATCGAATGCACCCAGACCTTGCCGAGCTGTAAAGATTTGTACTATATGAAAGAGGTAATAGATTCCTTGACCTTCTGGGCAAGCTTGTGTCCTCAATCTATTGAACGGCAATGTTCATTGGTGCATTTTTGGTGAGCTTCACCTGCTATCAGTACAACGGACAAGTGTCGTTGACTTCATAGCAGTTTCACCGAGCATCTGGGAATATGGTGAACGGTTCAAAGTTCTTTCCTTAACTAACTTATCAGATCACAAACCTTTCCTCTGTCAACATACTAGTTAGAATCAATTGTTAGCCTATGTATTAATTCAAGAGGCTTCTTAAGATGCACTAAATGACCGAAAATGGGATGAGAGATGAATCGGCCCACCCACTGTTATGTAATCTAATTGAAAAACGCAGCGATACCACCCAGCGAAGATTTTTGTGACTTCAAAGCCTGTGGGTTCAACAGACGAATATCTCCGATAAAGAGCCAACGGATCAAATACAAAATTACTTGGGAATGTGTAACTCTAGCAGTAAAAACTGCCCGTAGGCCCCATTTAGTTGCTCGTTTAGCTCAGTCAGTCAGGGATAGTTATGGATATGACTTGCCGATAGCTTGCTACGACGACGGGCCAAATGATTACCCTCGAGGTATTAGAGAATCAGAGATCGGTTAGCTCAGTATCCGTTATTGACGTACGTTGTCAGTGACGATGAGGATCTGGGAATAGCAGAGGGGAGAAACAAAGCCCTCAAAATGGTTGAAACAAAATATTTCTTCATTTTGGATGACGACGTGATGTTTATGAACACAACAAACATGCAAACGCAAACCATGATTGACATTTTGGACACGACCGATGCCACACTTGTTGGTGGTCAGCTACTTGGAAGGGCAAATTTTGCAGCTTTAATAAAGTTTGGATATTTCGGTGGAACCCTCAGAAGATTGGGATACTTCCCTGGAACTTGTGCAAAACTTAACCAAACCGTTCCGAACTACCCGCGGTGTTTGAGATGCGAGCTTAACTCAAATATTTGGATGGCAACTGACTTACTGACTTAAGGCGGCTTCAGCGTCTGAGTATTGATGCGCTGTCTCCATAGAACTCTATCCGCCATAAGTCTGCCCATTTCTCCAGTGTCGTTGAAACCCGTGTCAGCTCGTAGTTAGGCTATCAACATAAGTCATGGCTGGTCTTCCCTACTCTGCACCCCATGAGTTGGATGGCAAGGACAGAGCCTATCCCACAAATCGGGAGATGGGATCCTGAGCTGAAGGTTTTTTAGCACCTTCCACAACCCTATCAGGGTTAGGAAGGTAAAACCATGGGGTGCCCTACATAGACTGAATAAAATCTGGAAATCCAAACTTTCTAAATTTTCAGCGGAATAAACAAAAATTGTTTGAGTCATACTTTACAAATATACGTACCAATCATTTATTATAAGCGTGATAACATATAGTAAATGAGGATGTTACAAAAGGAATTAATTTAATGTAGTTTGAGGAGTCCTAACTCTCCTCACGTCCAAGAATGGCGTTTCTTTTGTCGTTAATTATATAAGCGTGATATAACACTCTCGTCAACAGATATAAAAGTCTTATTTTCTGATCTAACATGATATTATAATAAAACATACTTGAACTTTTATCATTTTAATCATTTGTATTCTATCGTCAGCTCAAACAACTTATAAACATCATCTTCATGCTTTTTGTATCTAACAGTAACATAAATCTAATAAATCTGTATCTGTAACTCTGTAAGTCAAAACTATTACAAACGTATAGTATAGTATCGGTAAAACAGAGAGTACTTCTGATATTCTACAATAATATGATCTGTTTTTACTTTCCACTAATCAAAATCTAGATTTGTCAAAATTTCTTGGTTCGACATTTCAGGGTGATTCAAAAAGAATGTTCGTATTTTTAAAATGTTTTAAAATTTTACAACATTCCATTAGTATTTGTTGCAGATCTTCTCCTCGTAGTAATCGTATTCCGGAGATGGTCCCTTAATTCTGAGGGAGATACAATCGGAAGTTTGGAAATTCTTTGGTTTCTTCATCTTCATTCTTACAGCAGCCACACCATTATTGACTCTGACCTGAATAAAGTACATAAGATTAAGTTGGGCTAGTTGCGTTGCAATTATGTTTAGCAATAGCCACTTAGATGATTGATGCTTTCTTCATTTCATGTTTTCACTGGGCGCCGCTCAGCCTGTCATTCCGCCGCATTATAGCCTGGGGTCCCGGCTAGGTAATTCATGATTATTATATTTTTTGTCGCATCGATATCTGTGAGAATTAGCCGATAAAGTGATAACGCGTTTATAATTGATTTTACAATCTTTTCATTATTTTATAGGTTTACCCTGGCTTTTGTAGCTTTGCTGGAGGACTTGATTGAGCTGATGGTAAAGTCAGAGGGATCGAGTTTGAAGATACCTCGCTTCAGGTCCAGTGGCTTACCGTATTTCAGCGCCTATCAAAGAATGATTTAGTACGATAAGGTATTATCTTTTAATAATTATATGTAAAAATTGGAAATGTCATTAAAAGATTAAATACGTTAACCTATACCTATTCTATTGACCATGGGTCAGGTTTATTAACAACATATCTGGGTATTATTAAAGTATTAACTTAGGTTAACCGTGTATCTAACCACAACTCCGTTTACTTACTGAAACTTCGAATATCAGGGAGATGGTCTTTTTGGACCAGCTTGCTTTTATATTGTCCTTAAGCCTGTACTCAAATGCGGCTGAAATATGAAGTTAATGTAATTAGTTAAATTCTCAAGTCACGTCCGCCTGAAAGTAAAATTATTAGTTTAAAAATGTGTTATAACTGTATACAGTGCTTACCATGTAGTTACCATGTGGTTACCCATCATACCAAACTTATATAGTTTCACTTTCACTTCTCTCAAAGTCAATAAAGCACAGGCCCAAAACATGATTTCATCTCAAAATTATGGTTACCTTATCCGTTATCGGTCATAATTATCACGGACATTGCTTTCACGCTGAAGACCTTAGCGTGAATAATTAAGTCCGTGAAAATAATGTCTGTGGCATTAAGGTCCGTGAATAATAAAGTCCGTTAATTATTTCCATTAATTGTAATATGGGTGTCCCTACATATGCGTAGATATATGTGTAGCCGATTACTATATTAGTTTATTAGTATACTTATAAGACAAATATAATCACTCCTCAGTCACATTCAAGTGTTCAGCAAAAAGAGTAAAACACTTATTAAAAATCCCCAAAAAATTTTCACAATTTTTTGGAAAATTTTGGGCGGTCATGAGCGTGAATAATTATGTCCGTGAAAAATTTGGTCCGTGAAAAACGTGTCCGTGAGAATTATGCCCGATAAGTTATTTACCATTATAACAGAAGAGCCCAGCGACTTCGTTAAAGGCGCAAGGAAGCTTGGCATCAGTGTAGCGGGTGACAGAGCAATGTTGGAAAAGGAAGTCATCGTCTCTAGGACAATACATTTGGGTGAAGAGGAAGTCCACCCTGTCACTCTGTAGAGACACAGCTCTGCCGAACTGAAAGGGGAAACTTTAGTATTACATGAAATACGTGGTGTGTCTCACTTTTGAGCATGGACGCACTTTTTTTCTTCCGTTGGCATAAAAATCTGCTTTTTGTGGTCTCACAATTTTGCACATAAATATGGATTATGATACCTTCAACAGATACCGATTCAAGTTGGAATTCTCACATTATATCCATGTTGTTTGCAGACAAGTTGAGCCTCTCTATCACTCCAGCCGTCATCACAGAGCAGTCCCCATTTATCAGCAGCTCCAGTTGAGTCTGGTGTGGCTATCTCCAGGATGTAGGTTCCAGGGGCAGCTTGTTCCACTAACCTTGTTCTGATGCTCACTACGTGGAGTGTAAGTTTACAAATTAGAAGTTATAGTGACATTCAAACCTCACAATACTGCAATAGATATAAGCATGAACAAAAAAGTATGCATTTTTGTTAATCCTCAGCTCTGTTCTATGTTCATTAACACTTTAACAGGATTAAAATGCTCCCAATCTAAAAACACATTTGCACATGACAGTTAGCTACGATAGTTCAAATACGCACATTTTTCACAAACAGGGTAGACAGCCTGGCCTATCTTGTTGCAGAAGGCAGTGTTACCACTCTCCTTCTGGAGCCTGTAGCCATCGTCACACTTGAAGGTGTAACTAGCGTCCTTGCCTGTCCCTGCTTTGTCTACAGCTTTGCCGTTATCAATGTAGGGTTTTAGCTCACATACTGGGAAGTAAGTGGTTAGCTGCAAATAAACTGGTGGTGTGCGCTAAATACTGGGGACGTTTGTAGTTGTAAAATATGGTTTTACAGTAAACTTAGACTAAATCCTATTCCATGTTTAGTATGATTAAAAGCTGTTACAGACCTTCTTTCTCGCAGATGGGGCAACATTCTCCCTCCTTGTAGACAGGTACACAGTCTTCCTCCATTTGCCAACAGTCGGCTACCGCACAGGACTGCTCCTTCTCCCCTTCGCCTGAAATTTTAACAATCAGCTATTATATGACGGCAACTAACCGACCTTAGAAATAATACACTACAATCGTATTAATTGCGTTATATTTCTCTCGTTTTTTCGATTCTGGAAATGAACTACCATACTGAACTTTGGGTCATATAAAAAGAGTATAATCACACAGTCGATATAAAAGTATTGTACATCACAATTACTTTAACAATTGCATGAACTGCATGGCAGAATTGATCAATGACAATCATCATTACTTTTGGCATAGAAAAGTTTTACAAGACAAATGAAAATAACATGAATCAGGAGTTTCTTTCCAATTCGAATATTCTGACACATATTTGATTTAAACATTTAATGACAGTAAAAATCTCATGTGGTAAACATAAAATAGCGAAATTCTACAAAGTCCCAATGGTCTCCGGAGATCAGAAAAATCTTTGCTGGTTTAATTTATTCAGTCAGTTTACTTCATTAGTCATTCAAAGAGAATATTTCGAAATTTTTCTGTATCATCAAATTTCAGGACATCACGATAAATCTGTGACTGTATTTGCCTGACTGTCAAAATCATCCTATGCTAGCTTCTGTCACTAATCTCTTCATCCTTGGAGACGCTTGCACGACCGGAACTACATGTGACAACGACTGTATAGAGATTGCAGGGGACGACGACCGAGCCTTAAAACGGTTTCGAAGAACCAAACTCACGCGTGTCGCTGTATTCAGATGTTTCAAACGGCCATAGTCCCTGATATTTCCGGTCAAAAATAACTTTGCAAAGAGCGCGAACCTCTTGTTTGTGAAGGAGTATATCAGAGGGTTAGCAACGAGGTTGAAAGATAAAATGTACATGTTCATAGCATTGACGTAGCGGGGAATATTTGTAACTCCGGCAACCGGAAGGGCAAAGAGAACAACAGAAGGGATATATGATACTATGTAGACCCAGCAAATCAGGGATATCGTCTTCACTGCTTTAAAGCGAGCGTGCTAAATCACTCTACAGTCGATCTTCGAGATTGTTCTAAAAGGGCCCCCGACGGTTGTAACCAACTTCAATCGATGTATTTTCGGACGCTGATTCCGAATCACCCCCCATGACATAGGGTTAAAATGCTCCCCTGACGAGATATTGGCGAAAAACTGTCTCGATCACGTGATATGACCGTATAAGGAAGTTAGTCTAATTTCTCGTTAGGGTTAGGGTTTCAGCATATGTTTTTGTTAAGGATCGGGTTAGGGTTAGGGTTGGGATCAGATTAGAGGGTTAGGGTTTCGAAGATTCGTTCAGAACTAGCTAGAGAACGGGTTGAAAAAGTCACGTGACAGTCGAGTGTAGAGTGATTAATCATCATCCGCTTTAAAGTTACTCTCTCGGGTAGCAGAGTCTACGATAGCTGAATTAGCGTACACTAGCCGGAGAATGATGATGTTTGCTATCACTGTGATTATTGCTGGGATAAATAGATAAAATCCAGATATCATCCTCAATATCCGAAGGTATGTGGATACGCTATCAATGTTGTCCCAATCGAAGGGGCTGCAGTTCAAGTGTGAAGGTTCGTACTTTATTGTCGGTTTGATCCCCGTCAGACCGATCAGGGAGGTAACGTAGAATATCCGGCAGTTTACAAGAAGCCCGACTGGTCCATGGACCACTGGTCTATGGACCACTCTAGGTGGTCCATGGACCACTGGTCCATGGACCACCTTATCACTGAATAAGTGGTCCATGGACCACTTTAACAAGGTCCATGGTATCAGCAAGCACTTTAGCTTCCATTATCATATGATCCAATCATACGGTAGACTTCTTCGCTAAGATTGCAAGATGTCAGTATTAACTACGAAAAACGTCGCAGAGATATATAAGATGAATTGTGGTACACAGCCATCGTCGTTTTCGATATACAAGACAGATACTTGTACACCACTACTGTGTTTTCAATATGAGCCACTCACTACACAACGAAATCCATCGGATTACAAATACTGATGAGCATGCAAGGGATTTCCTCTTTCAACGTGGTATTCTGAAGTCCTCTCTTTCCTGTCCTGGCTGCTCTTCTGCTATGAACCTTGTACCCTGCTCCTCTAAGAAGTCCTCAGACCTTCTCATCTGGCGGTGTTCACCCTGCTCAAGGTTTAGGAACATACGAACGGATAGTGTTCTCTCTGGACAGAAGCTCACCTTCTCACTATTCCTACAGCTGGTTTTCTACCTCAGCATCAAATCCCTTGCAAATGTAGCTATCTCTCAGCTCATAGGAGTATCAGAGAACACCATCAGTGACTGGAAGACCATGATACATACAAGAGTAGCTGACTTTCTGGTATCCAATCCCTCTCCTCTCGGTGGACCTGGTGTTGTCGTGGAGATGGATGAGGCCAAGTTCGGAAAACGCAAGTACAATAAAGGAGCTTACAGAGAAGGGCAGTGGGTGCTTGGAGCTGTAGATCGGAGCAACGGTAACTGTTTCCTACTACCCTGTCCGAACAACAGCAGAGGTGCATCCACACTACTCCCTCTGATTAGACGCTGGATCCTCCCTGGTTCTGTTGTCTATACTGACGAGTGGGGAGCCTATAACAGCCTAACTACCGCTGGCTACACTCATCACACCGTCAACCACTCGATCCAGTTCGTGGACCCGGCAACAGACAGTGAGAAGTATTGATTTTTTGCCATCGACCACAGTCTACTATATCCTTCAACTACATATTTGTACCCTCCACTACCCTACTATGGTTTACACATCTGACAAGGACAAGAGATTGAACAGCATCAATTCCTGTGACCCAATCTGCAAACCCTCTACTCCTTTGGATAAGTCGACTCAACGAGGCAGACCGCTGGTGGTAAGCAGAGCACACCCCAACTTCTGCACACACTGTGGTGAGCGCCATGCCTCTATATCCTGCGCTGCTGTGGATCCTGTCAACATAGACGCTCCTATCCCAACTAATTCTACAGCTCTCCCTGTCCCTCCTTCCAGATGCCCCGACTGCACAGTGCTGAAAAGAACGGGTCCTACAATTACAGTCCTTGATGGTGTCGAAAGAACCGTCACTATCACAGAACGAAAGCTCTGCCCAACCCACCTTGTTGGAGACTCCACTGCTCCTCCCCCTTCCCCTCCTTCCCCTACCTACGTTCCGGATTCTCCTCCACTCCCACCAACCTTTATAGCTCCAGAGTCCTCTGCTCCTCCTTCTCAAGTCGCAGATACAGACCTGGATTTGTCTGTGCACACTGAGCAGATTCTCGAAAGATTAGAGAGTGGTGACAATCCACTGAACCTGCTACCTAGAGACCCCTCTCGTCTACCTACCTCCCCAACTGTCGACTCTCCCCTCAACCTCATCGAGATACCGCCTCCTCAACCACTACCAGAGAGCTCGGCAGGACCTATCAGACGGAGGAATACCACACGGAGGAACATGGAAGCAGCAATCCATCAACAATATCCTCTTGTTTTGGAGATGGTGAAGAGTGGGACGAGCGCAAGGCAGGCTATTCAGCAGATTCAGATGCCCAGATCAACGTTCTACAAGTGGCGTTTTGTTGCAGAAATGAAGCTTGTCGACTCCTCACACTATCATCACCTAGCTGATCAGTTCAAGGGAACCAAGCTGTGTGATCAATGTAAATACTGTTTATTTGAGGACTCTGCCTCTCTCAGAAAGACAGAGGAGATGAGGAAGAGCTCCGACCTTCTCCCTCTATCTATGTAAATTGTATGTTATTTACTTTTGTAATACTTATTATACATATTGCAATCATAAAGATGCCAATTTCAATTGATAATAAAAAATTAGATATAATCTTCATGAGTTGACTTATGGTGGTCCATGGACCACTGTACCTTGGTGAAGTGGTCCATGGACCACCTATAGTGGTCCATGGACCACTGGTCCATGGACCAGTCGAGCTTCTTGGAGACTGCCGAATATCCAGACCCCAGAAAGCACCATCTTCAGACGTGAGGGTTCCATGGGGCTGTTCAGCGGGGACGCCAGGACCCTTACCCTGTGACATGACATGATCGCAATCAACATAGCCTCACAACAAAACGGGATGTATCTGAGTATCCCACAGTAACAAACAAACGTCCCCAACAACCACCGTTCTGTTGCCAAGGTAACTAACATTGGTATAAACTGGAGGAATGTAGCCAACATGTCCGCCACTGCCACGTGCTCGATCAGGATCACTGAGTTTGGCTCCATCCGGATAGCATTGTATTTGAGGGATCCTAGAAGTACAAGTGCGTTTCCTCCCAGACCGGAGATTATGACAAGACTGTTGTAAACAAGGAGAAAGGATTTGATTCCAGTGTGGTGCTCTCCCAATACATTGTCAAGGGCGGTGTGGTTGAGGATACTTTCCTCATCGACATTCCACATTCCTTCAAAAATTGTCAAGGTTACCTTATTAGCTTATTGAATAATGTCATTTTAAATTTACGATTGAGGGGCAGAGATACTGTAAAAAAGAATTACCGTGAAAATTAAAAATCGAATGTACTGTTGAGTGTTGGCAACGTAAGTCATTAAGCCTTAAGGTAAATTAAAAATGGATCGCGACTTAAATTCTAGCAATTTCCGTGTTCTTGTCCATTATAAGATATAACATCCGGATCTGATCGATGAATAGTCATCAGAGATCCAGGAATTTCATGAATATACCACCAAACGAAGGCCGATTAAAGGGTTCCTTTTGTTCAGCTAACAATTTTAATGAACAAAAGGAACTCCTAGATTACAAGCTATGATGGCTATTTGTTCAGACAAGATGTGGCACTGCTCAATAAACAGGGACATAAACAAACGCACAGTCATAAAGCAGTCTGCAGGGCCACGTGAGAAGGTAAAAGTACCTATTAAGTATTAAACCAAATAACGCAGAGTTGTATCATATGCTGACAACTGAAAGGAGGAAACAGAGCGGCCTTAACAACATAAAATATATTACAATTAGAAGAGAGCAAAGGAGAAATCTTTCG